TGTAAAGATTTTGCTTGAAGCACAGTGTTAAGGGGATGATGAAAGAGCCAGCAGAACCTTTTTCGTCCATACCCCATTTGAGTAGCAAATGCAAACAGCCATCTAATAGCCGAGGAAGATGTTTGAAATGAATTGGTGCTGGTGTTGCAGCTCTCAGGGATGTGCACTAGCCTCCTGTGACTTGGAGCATTAAATCGGCTTTCATGTCAGGGCAAGGATTGTGGCCTGTCATGCCCAGCAGCTAGAGTGGGAATGGAGTTTGGACATTTTCAACGTGAGCTCAGATGGAGAATGGCAGCAGCTGAGGGTTTGGGGAAAAAAGGCTTGGGCATCTGGCTGGTAGTCATACCAGATGGCCAAGGTGAGGGCATGAGCAGAGAGCCTATACTGGAAGTTCCCAAATCCGTGCTATAAACTGCTGCCTGCAATGAGGGGCAGGTAGAGATGGAGCAGGCTGGAGCAAGCCTGTCAGGAGGAGAAGGTGAGCTGGGGAAGGGGAGGCAGAAACCAGACTGATGAAATCACAGACCTAGGTAAGGAGTGGGAGCTAGGGGGCAAATGGATTGGGGTTAGAGGAAAGGCCAGCAATCAAGACTAAGCAATAAAGGTTGCTTGCTGCAGCCAAGAAGCACATTCAGCTGTTTAGAGACTGGAGGATTTTGCGTGTTTGATGGATGAACAAGCCATCCAGCTGCTGGTCCTGTGTTGCTGTGGTTTATCTAGGGCCTTTGGTCCTTCTGGAACTACATGCTGGAGGAGGCAATGCTTGTTGAGGGAGGTGTATCCTCTGCTACAAGAGACTTTGCTGTCGGTTTGCTTTTCCCAATGCTGTGGGGAGACAGAGCTTCAGTCGCTAGAGCTGTTGGTATAATGCTTTTTCTTGCAAAACCTAGCTGGTGCCAGTCCTTCAAAGACCAGCAGACAGACCCCTAAATCATTGGCTTAAAAATGTAATTTTAAAAAGTATACCTGAGGTGGTTCACTCTTGTTTGCTGGTGTTGGTGCCTTTGAGGATGTAGCTTGCCTGCTTTGTCTGTAATTCCAAGACCTAAACACAGACTTTTCAAGTGGCGAGTTGCTTGGTTTTGTTTTGTTTTGTTTTTTTAAATGAAGCTAAGGGGAGTTGGGTTTTTGAGACGCAACCCAAGTCTAAGCAGTCCTTCCGGCCATTGCGGTCAAGGTGCAGCAATTTCCATAGCAGATGATAGTGCACAAGGGGGTGACGCAGCTGCTGCCTCCTCCAGCTGACTATTACTGTCCAGTTTTAAAGGCAGAAGTAGCTGATGCCGGCTGGCTTGCAGGGAGTCTTTGCAAGCCAGGTTCACGCTTGTGCTTCTGTTCCCTAATGAGACATCCTAACCACATCTCTTCAGTCATGTCTCTCAGTAAAGTAACTCCTTGATTACAAGAATTTAGGACTTCTTCAAGGAAAGTGTTCCATGGGAGACCTGCGGCACATCACAAGCTGCCAAAACTGCAGGCTGGCTTTCAGACAGAAGAAATGTTGGTGATGCTTCCAAACTGAGTAGCTAAGGGTTTTCTTTTTTTTTTTTTTTTTTTATTTGAAGCCATTTTTAATGTGAACAACTCAAAATGGGGTACCTACCAATTACTAGGGCCTTGCTATGGTGCTTTTGTAGCTTCAATTGACTAAGAAAAGCACAACAATGAACAGAGCAGGAATACATGCCTGCCTTCCTTATGGGCGATGGTGAGCTCACACATGGCCCCAGATAACCAAAAGATGGCTGTTGTGCTGTGCGTTGGCTTGCACTAAGGGAGCAGGACAGGGACATGTGACAGATTTTGTTGTCCTAAGAAAACATATTAAGGATTTTCTTAGAAATTGTTTTGTCCTCTCTTGGGAAGCCTATAAGAGAGTTGGGGGGGGGGACACCGACACCCAAACCCATCGTACTGTTTATTTAGACATAGGTGAATGTTTCCAGTTCTCCACTGTACTCTTAAAAAAAAAAAAATTCCAGCATGTCTGTGAATAGCTTTATAAAGTTCCTCAGGGAGAAGTAACAGATGAAATCTTCACCATCTTGACCTGGAGCAGTTGCGTGTTAGACTGTTTTCCTGTGCTCTGCCTACTGTTGCAAGCAAGCGTGATGAATCGCATACTGTCCGCAGATCTCGGTACCACGTAGGAGCTGGTGTCTTGACTGTACAGATAGTTGGACTTTGCTCCAAGTTATCGGGGTTTTTTTTTGGTTGGTTTTTTTTTTTTGTAGTTGTATTAGTAATCACAATATATACCAGGATGGTGAGAATATCCTATAGTATTTTGTTGTAATAATTTGTTTGACAAACAATTGTTTGAACCTTACTTGCATGAAATATATGGTCTAGGAAAACCACTGGCTTCATCATTTAAAAAAAAAAGAAAGATGATAGACTTGAAAATCAGCCAGAGACTGAGACCAACCCCAGGCATGAGCATTTGCAAAACTGCCTGATTTGTCAGCAGAACATAGTGAACAACCTAGTAGTGATCGGTTCTGTCTATGCTGTTGGAGAGAGGGGTGAACATTTGAAGTTCTTCAGACTGAGTGTGGGATACCCCCAAAAAAAAGTGCCTGGCAGCACTATTTTACAGTAGTAGTCAGTGATTACAACCTTTAGTAGAAATTGATCTGAACAGGTTCATATCTACTGAAGTGATTGGCTCTTTTTTTTTTTTTTTTAACCATCAGTTGGATAAAGATCTGATGTGTGGAGTTACTGTCCAACTGCCTTGCAGATCAGTGGGATGCATTGAAAGGGAGGGCAATGGGCATGCTACCATTCCTGGAGGCGATGACAGCCTGCTTATGCAGATTATTCAGAAGATTTGCTGTTGAGAAGCTCAAGGGTGTCTGTATGGCCACCTCATGTTCAAAGGCAGTTATCAAAACGGTCAAGCACCAACAGCTTCCACAGAGTCCAGTCTGAATTGAAGTGCGTGTTTGGAAATTAATTTATTAATGTGTCTGTCCTCCTGCAGCACAATCAGTGTTATTACACAGGCAAAACTGGCAATTTCTATACATAAAAGGATTGGGGTGTTTATCCCAGTGCTGCTGTTAAAAGGACTGGGTGGGTGAAAGCCATTCATGGCCTTGTTGGGAACTGCCAAAATACAATGGCTACAATGGCTTATGTTAGTGCCACAAACACTGAAGTGGGGAACTGTGGCAATTCAGCCTCTGAAATGTAATTTTGTCAACTTTTTTTTTTTTTTTTGAAGGGTAGCATCACAGGAGGCACCCTCAGCTTCTCAGACAGAAATACACTTCTGAAATGAAGCAGCAGTCTGAACCACAGGACAATGTTTCAGAAGGGTGGGCTGCAGGGCATGAATTCTCCATTCGAGGAAAGCTGGGTCAACACTACAAAAAGGTTGGTGGTATGGACCTCTGGCAGGCTACATCTCAGCTCTCAAGTATGGGTAGCTTTTGTTTGTTCTTTCATTCTTCAAAGATCAATGCAAACCTTTATTTTCTATAAATAATTTAATAAATACTTTTATTTTACAATGATACAACAAATAACAAATTCATAGCAAAACAAGTCACAAAGAATTTAGGATCAGTATACTTTAATAAGGTATCAGTGTCAAAATACATTTCCTTATCAAGTTAAAGTTCCCATACAGTTATAATATTGTCAATAAGAATTCAGCAATATAGATTATGAAATAATTATGATAAAAAGTATGATTAATATTAAGACATGGAATATTTTTTCAGAGTGTTTTAGTAAACTGTTAGGGTATAACATTTTTAATGCTGAAACTACACAAATAAGAAACAGAAGAGCAGTATTCAAGTGTCTTTAATCCTTGAAGCCTTTAAGTCCTTGCCACTGCAAATTTGTCAAATCCTAGCTTACCAATTTTCATCACATTTTTGATGCTTACAATATATTTTTTCCACTTGGTAGTAACTTCACTTTAGGAGTAGATTACTTTTGGTAATAAACTCTTGAAAGATTTCCTATAATCGGGACTATAATTTTTTTTACATTATGTACTAATAAGAAAAGATCTTCAGCTTTTCTAAGTATGCGTGTTTAAGACTCAGTTTAACACAGCGAACTCCGAAGTGCTCAATGAACCCAAGGCTCCCTCTCTTGCAAGTGTTAGTGCACGATATAAAGCAATTTTATAAACCAGGCTTCAGTGGAATCAGAAGTCTCAAAAGCATCTATCTTTGTTCTAAGTTTCTGGGCAGATTTTTACCTTTTGTACGTTGCCACTGTTCCATTTTCTGCAATAAAGGTACACTGACTTATACCAGTGGAGGAAACAAGATGATATATCCCAACATATATCTAGGTCTCTATGTATTTTGAAGGTAGAACTGCTCACCTGCGTTTTATTAATTTAATATTTTTGCTGCTTAAATATGTTGTGATTTAAACTTTCAAATCCCTTTGCCTTTGAAAGCATTCAAAGCCTTATGTTTTAAAATACGTGCATGACAACTAATGATAGTTGGAAAGGAGCTCTGAAAATGTCTGGCTGCCTTTTAATGACATTTCAGCTACTGATTAATGTAAGGCAAGTAAAAATGATAGAGACCTGCCTCCCAGCTATTCATCTTACTACATAATCCTTAATTGGTTTTGTCTACTTATAACTGAGTTAGCCTAATACCCTGGGAAATACTACTTTAACTTTTAGTTTAAACAATTCAACATTGCAATTACATTGCTAGCTAGCATGTAAAATAAGAAAAACAATCAGAGGTGTTAGTACTGGCCCCTGGTCAGATTCCTGAAATATCAGCAACACCATAACAAATACTACTACTTCTAGCAGAAACAGCTCTTAAAGTTGTTGTGTCCTAGATATAGCAAAAGTACCAAGAGATGATTAACAACTGACCCAGAGAGAAATTAAAATAAAAACAAAACCCAACTGTAAAAAAAAAAAAAAAAAAAAGAAAGAAACAATAAAGAACAAAACAAGAAAACCCAACACAAATGAAAACACAGGTCTGAATCCTCCACTGGGGTAAATCTGTAGGACTCCTTTGGCCGTAGAGCTAAGCCCAGTTAAGGCAGCTGAGAAATGGGGCTTGTGTCTGAGGAAAAAAAGCTTACAACATGCAACTTTCACAGATACCCACAAACATTGCAGTTCACCATTCACATTTCTTTCAACAAAGTGTATAAAAAATGAAGGGGGGGGGAAGGGGGAAGGCTGGGATTTTTCCTTAGTATACTTTTCCAAAAGTTTAATATTAAAGTTACAATACGATAAAAGCTGGAAAACAGAAAGACCCAAAGGATTTCAATTTGGCAGATCACAAAAAACTGTGGTTGGAGATCAAATTTGTTTCATTCATCTTTGGCAATAAAAATAACTCTTTGCAGTACTGCAGCCAAAGTTATCACATGATCAGGCATTTCTACCACAGCTTTTTATTAGCATGAAATTTGAAGAAAATTCCAGAGTATAAATTACAGGTAATGAGATAAGGGGAGGGTAATCAGACTCTCTAAACAACACTTTAATTGCAATAGAGAAAATACAGTAGATGTATTTCTTTAATATGAATAATAAAGTGAGTAACTTCAAAAGGCCACTATTTGGTAACGTGGACAGGTTCAATATCTAAGTAAAATCCTGTAAAAGTGTATTGGTATTAGAAATTGTCTACTTGCAAAAATATATTTAAAAACTGAAGCTGTTTTGAACAGTACAGGCCATGGAATATTGCAGGATTGCTCAGGTTGCCTGGTCCAGCGCTCTGAGCAGTTCACTGCCCTGCAGAAGCGTAGAGCTGCCCGAAACAGGGACGTTCACCTCACAGTCATATCTTGTCAACTCGGGCAACAAGTAGGGTTCAAAGGAGGGCCCCAGCAGACGACTGGTCATACCTGGAAGAGGTTAGTGAAGTAAGTCATGGTGCTGACACCAGAGAGACAGAGAGAAGACTTCTTTCCTCTCCTGCCTGTTCTGTTCATACCAGTTACAATTTCATTTTGTGTTTTATGTCAGCATGCCTCAAACCACCAGCAGTTACAGGTTTCAGAACAAACCTATCCATCGCTCTGCCTTAAATAGTTGCTTGTCACATGGACAGGTGCAGTTTTTCACCTCCACCCCAATTTAGATTGTTCTGAGAAAAATTATATTGGTGCAGATGAGGAAAGCTGTAGTAAACAACACAGTTTCTAAATTGACACCCACTCCCCTTATATATTAAAAGGGACATATATATATATATGTCCCCTTTAATTACTTATTTTAACTTTTAGAAGGCATGTGTTAAGACTGTAATCTACCAACCTCCCATATCAACGGTGCAGTGAAATTGTTTAGTATAATTTAATCAATGCCATCACAAGACAAGAGTATGGATGGAGGATGACTGGACCTCCAAGGTAAAAATGTATTAAGTTTAATTGACATGAAGGGCAAAGATGGATTTTCCTCATATATTACACATATAAATACTAAAGTTTCACACTAAACAACAGAACTAGTTTTTCATTCTGTGAAGCAATACGTATTTGGTTCTTGGTTTATCATCCTCCTCCATTTTTTTAAGTGTTTTTCTTTCATGGAATTGGTACTGGAACTAAACACCAACACTTTCCAATTTCTGTATTTGACAGCTCTTACCTGATGCTTTATGAGCTGGCTGGACAGTATAGTCCTGATAATGGGAACTGTAAAACGGAGGGGGAAATGCTCCTGCTTTCAGATTCTCACCAGGACTGCCACAGGTGGTTGGCTGTTGCTGCTGCTGTTGCTGCAGTTGATTCATTGGCTGGCTTAGACCTCTCGAGTTGTTACAGACAAATTCATCTGATTTACATAGTAGGGGGAAAAAAAAAAGTTAAATTAAGCCAGTGTAATCATTATAGTAGATAATACTAATTCAAAGCAAATTAATCCTTGGCGTGATGGTCATGCAGCGTAGGCATACCTACTTTTTGTCACAAAGGAAGTCCAGAAGCAGCGCTAACCCTAAAGGTAGTATTGCACCCAAGATATGGTTGTGTAAGGAAACACAATGTTGTAGAGAGAAAGTATCAGTTCTGCCTCAGAGATGTCCACACATTGGATCAGCACGAGATAAACCCATCTCCATTAAGCTGATCTCTGTTACCACCAAAGCAACGGTGTGAACATACATGAAACCATCTACCTGGTAGTTATCAAATGTACCTTAAATTGTTCAGCTCTTAGTGATACAACCTCATCTTTAATTTAAGCTTAGTGTAATAGTTACAGAGCTTATTTGCATTTCCTTTTGAAAGAGTTTTTGTTTCTATTCAACCTGTCTTAAAATTGTGTTTCAATACTTAACATTGCAAAACCACTTTCTTTTGTCTTACCAGTAAGAACGCTTGTGCTGAGAGACTTCTTTTCTGTAACCAAGGAACTGTTTTCCCCTTTGAGAAATTTCATTCTCTTCCACATTAGGTGAGATGGGTTAATGACAGATGGATCTCCCTAGAATGTGAAGAAAAGCATAACAAATAATTACACCAATGACCATGGAGAGTTCAAAGTTGTGAAGGGGATGCATTTCTTATGATTACCCCGCTCAGCTGTTGCAACACTTGTTCTTCATAATCCAGTTGTCGCTTCAGTTTCAAACTGTTAGACAGAGCAATTCTTGCCGGGTTTATATCTATGCCTCGTTGCCCAAAAGCATCCAGGGGCCTGTGGAGAAAAGATCTCTGGGTGAGTGAGCAGGGAGGCAAATCTAAACCATCTTGTTCATTTACATGGATTCTTCTTTCATTTAAGGCGTCTTTGACACATGACAGTGGACAGCCCTCAAGTGTTTTTACTTCCTTTTGTTAGTCGTCCCTTAAGCTTTGGAAACTTTTGACTTTTGGGATCAAAGACTAATGAAAGTCTAGCATAAACAGCCTCCAGGAATCTCCAGACAAGACATAAAAATGCTGTGGAAAAGTCATGTGATTTTTAAAGATAGGATTTTGAGAGCCACACCTGTCCCCTTGCTTTGCATACTAAACATGAACAAACAGGTTGCCTTTTGGGGACAAATCCTCTCTTTCCAGATGTCTATTCAGACACTGGTATTTCTACCAACAAGAAGAAATCCCACAAAGCAAACTGCACAGCTTCATGTTTTAAAATGACCATTGCAAAGAAGGGCTGTAGAAAAAACCCCTGTAATTTCAAATCTTAATTGTAATATTTACATATGCCAACAATAAATGTACTGTAACTCCTCCCTCTCCCCTATTTTCTGTTGTGCAAAAAGTACGTGCAAAATAAGAAAGTATGCTTGGGTTCCCAGCTTACTGCTGGACCAGTAAGCCTTTTCAGAGTTGTTTTATAACTGCATAAAGCCAAGCAGGCTTTGCAAAATTACTTGGGTAATCTTTACCCGACCAGCACGAAATCCATCCTTATAGGCAGGAAAAAGTTAGCCCACTTCTGCTTCCCCTAGTCTGACTACTGCTGGGAGAACGCCACACTAATTTCCCCAAAAGTGCAGTCCGATGCCTATCAAAACAACTATTCCAGCTGAATTGAGGAAAAAGAATTTTTCAGTATTATGACCTCCTCCATCCCCCAAAATATTTTCTGAGTAAAATACAGTTATACCCCAAAAACTCCTACCTTTTTTTATATATGGGCATGATGGGAGAATGTACTGGTGGACCTGAAGGGGAACTTGACAGGGATCCTGAGTATTTATCCATGAGTCTCCATTTAGCAGGAACATATTCTAATGGGGGATCAGGCGGCCACTGGGTGTTTGGTCTTCCTCCCATCGAAGACAGGGGAGTGCTGGCTTGGTCATGGTATGGCGGCAGTGATGACCTGCTGGCATTGTTGAAGAACACCGATGACAGGGACCCGTGACCAGGGTTAATGTTTTTATTTGATAGCTGTGGGTAATATTTCTCTGGGAGGAACTGATTCTGTGAAGCAGAAGCAAGGGGTTGGAAGATGGTACTCATGCTACTTAGACTCTGCTGGGTATTTTGTGCACTTTCAGAGAGAGGACATTCTTCTTGGCAGATTGGGCTAAGCTGGAAATCTTCTCCATCCATAGGAATGTAAGGAGCCAAGGTTTCAAGGTCCAGTTCATTGAAGTCAGTCTGCACAAAAATAAAGTTGATAAAGAAACTAAAAGTCAATAATAGTTGTGGCAGTTAGCGTGATATGAAATACTAGTAGATGTGAAGCTAAAAAATGACTGTGTACCAAATCTACCTCCATGAAACCGGCCAGCTCCTATTTAAAGGTGTCTCATTTCTATGACTAGCGTACACGTTCATCATATCATCATCATCAAAGTAAGACAACCAACTGAACTAAGAAAAAAAAAAAAACCTTCCAGATAGATAAGCGGTATTTGTGAAAGCAGCTTGCATGCAGCCTGCAACATCACTGTGATCTGAACTAGATCTTGTGTTTCACTAAGCTTTGAATAACTTGTCTGCCACGACTCTAGAACATGTGGCATGTAGTTCAACCTCAGGCTTTTTCATGCTAAGATAGAAAAACACAGCTTTCTCATAATCCAGCTACATGAAAAAAAAATGCATCTAAAAATGTGAGAGTTTTAAAAAATGTAGTTGGAAGGACACTATTGCACTTAAATCTGTAATATTTTTTTCCTTGGAAAACTAGTCATATTTAAATTCATTTCTCTTGGCGTTTGACCAGAGCTGAACAGAGAGGGAAATGAACGTTGGCCCACCAGTCAGCTCATGACAGGGGCACTTTTCTAACACTCACTTTTCCCACCAGACAAACCTGCTGATGTGGTGGAACACACCTGTGCAAGCATATGCTGAGCCTGACAAAACTGAAGTTTGCTCATGTCAAGTCTTGCACTGAGTTTGATCCTGATCCAGATTTTCCTCCTATCTGTCCACTCTTTCTGTTGCTTTCACTGCTCTTTCTATGTCCAAACTTAGATGAAATTTCTTCAGGTTATGGACTGCAGCCTACCTGTATCTTGTTAAGAGTCCTCAAATTGCACTGGCAAACTGAGACACCTCATTTGGGCCCAACTCACCCCTAACTTTCCATACGATTCATAGGAGATGAGTGCAAGGTCTGAGATGCCAGCAATGCCTTTTCCTTTCTCCTAACTATTAAGAAATAGAACCTCTTAATAAAGGCATTTCAATTAAGTACCAAACGTTAGGTGGGCTGAATCACGCCTACACCATTTATTCACTTGATGTAATGTTATAATAGTGGAGGATTGAGAGAGTTATTTATAGGGGGAATTTCCACACTTACACCCTGATTAGAATGCAGGAGACAGACTGATACTTTGTTACTTTATGTGCAAGTAATTGTCACATCTCTCTGAAGTCCTCCAAGAGGTAGGACAAGAGGAATATATCCAAAATGACAGTTTTAATTTTGTAGTTGAAGGAGGCATGTGCTATGAGGGGCATTCCTTTCTCACTTTGAGGTTTTTCAAGAATTAGTTTGTTTATATTGTGTTCTAGAAAGGATGTTTACTTGCTACTCATTAGGCCAGATTTAAAAAAAAAATAAATGCTGCCGCCTTATATTCCTCATCCAGTCTACAGAAGCTTCCACATTCTGAAAGCTCTCTGCTGCTTCTTAGCAGTGCCACCACAGTGACACCCTAAGGCACTTGCTTCAGAGAGTTAGGGATAGAAATTTACGCCCCAGCTTTTGAAAGTGTATATTTTTGTCAGTGTCGTGCATCAAAGTTTTGGTATAGGTGTGCAAACACAGCTTTACATGCATGTTAGTCTATCTGCACATACAGCATGCATCTGTACTACCTACTAGTAGGGACTGATTTTCATGGCTTTTGGAAGAGATATTAGTTCCTTACCTGGGAGTTGCACTGACTTTTTGATTCTGTGTCCATGGCAAAGAGTTTTTCAATCACTTCAATCTTAAGATCTTCATCCACAGAACTGTAATAATCTCCTGGGCTGCTTGGCTGCACAGAAATAAGAATTTGCTATAAGCAGCAAGACGACGACAGTATTGGCTTAGCATCATGCAGTTTATACTGTGCTATTCAGTAACAAATCTTTCCTATGATACCAGGCTGTATATATAGTGTCCTCAGAAGCCAAAACTGTCTGCTTCTATCATATGCTTTTCTCCAACACAAGATGACTTGTCACTACAAAGTTTGAGACCTATTCTGATTAACAAAGGCACCCAATACAGGAACGTAGTTGTCATCTCAGTTTAAATGGTTTTTTGGCAACTCAGACTAGCAACATGAGACGTACACTATTAAATACTTGTGTCAAGAAGGGAGACACTTAGCACTACCTCAGTGTCTTTATTAAAATTGGACACCCTCTAGTAAAGGCTGGCTAAGAGTGGCTCCAGCTCTTGGGGGCAATGCCCTGAAAGCACATTCATTCTTACAGTGAGGAACTCCATGGAGCTGCTCTCAAAAGCTTGAGCTGGGTAAAGTTTCTGCACTAGAGACTATCGCTTCTAGTTAACAAACAGAAAGAGGCCGTATGGGTCTGGGGCGATGTAGTGACCACACCGTTTTACATTGGCTTTTTATTTAAGGCTAACTCCATGAAAGGTGGTAGCACTTTCTTCTACTAGTTCTTTTATAGGTTATCATAATTACTGAGGGACAGCTGGGAGAAAATGAGGACTGCAATGTAAAGCTGGATGTAGTTCCCATTTGATGTTTTTGCTATTGATGCTTAAGATATACACCGTACAGGAGGGATATAGGTACACTGGGTCTTGTTAATACACAATGAGGTGGGACCGCTAACATGAAAACATCATCTACATATATTGATGGGACTGACATACAAAACATAACATGCATTTTTTTTAAAGCTCTTCTTACCGTGGAACAGCTACTGTTGCTGCTTGCACTTGGAGTACTGCTGCCAGGTGCAATCTGAGGCATTGTAAAGGATGGTATTGTCAGTGTTTCACCTTGAGCAGCACGGCTTTTCACTTCCACTGGCCATGCTTTGTTTGGTGTCAAAACAGCGCTGGTGAAGGCAGGGGCTTCCTCAAACTTCTGTGTCCCTGCATGGAGTTTTAACAATATTAATGGATGCTTTTAGGTTGTGCGGTGTTATGATATAATTGCAGCTATTCATTGAAAGTAAACACTGCTCCTAGTTGCCATGACAATAAGTTGGCATAGACTTAATGCATGTTGTTTAGTCAGCAAGAAAGCCTGATTCTGCTCTCATTCACAGAAATTTTCCACTGGTGTGAGCACGTGGGCTCTTATAGCCATTACTCCTGATTTGTACACACAGCAAACAGACCGTGTCAGTTAAGTTTCTAAATGTAGGCTCATATGTGGTTCTTTGTTGCACAAAAATTATTTATACAAATACTAACCAAAATCCAGGGAAATAATGGCATCGCCAGGTGTTGGTGCCAGCTGAGCAAGTTCCTCTGGTTCCTCCTTGAACTTAGTAAACAAGAAGTCGCTCTTCTCCGTGACAGGGATGCTGTTCTCATAGGCGGTGCTCATCGTCAGCAGGTGAGGCTTGAAGAGCGATTCCGTTTGGTCCATGGAGAACACAACATCATTCTTCTCAATTTCACTAACAAGAAAACAGGTTTTAGGTATTTTGCACTCTAAAAAAAAAAAGATGTGGGTAATGTAGGCAGTACAAATTCTCTAAAGCTAGGGCTCGTACAAGCGTTTTGGCCTCTCTCGGTTGCATGCCAGGCTCTCGACAGGCGAGGCACAGTTCCAGCGTTGCTGAGCACCACCATCTCGGATGACGCAGAGAGTGTGGTCAGGACTTCTGTGGGAATACTCGGGGCTTTGTTGCTCTGCTTTTTAAAGGGATGTAGTCGAGGCTATAAATGACCCAGACTATCACTCAAATAAGTATTTCCTATTTCAGCCGCATCTAGGACCAAAAATACTTGAGTTTTGCCAGACAGAGGCTAAACTCCTGATTCGCCCTGATTTTTGCGGCAGAAAACTGCTTCTCCTAGCAACATAAGACACAATTACTGCTTAATTTTATCTCTGTCACAGCATTAGAAAAACAAAACATATTAGCAGTTATGTTACACAACAAAATCTTCAGTGCAGGCTTTATACTCTGTTGTATCAGCGGAGCAGCCACTCTGCAGAAGAGAAAGGCTGTGGTGTATTTCAACAGCGCATATGGGAACGGGCATGCCACATTTTTCATCGATGTCTAACAGCAGTAAACAAGACTGAACAAACATGACTAAACTGATTTCAGAATAACACCACTGACTAAATAGACCCTTCAAAAGTTCCTCTGATTATTGCATTTCTTCCAGCACATGAATCCATATATGTCCCGTACAACTTACTTACCTCAGCACATAGTTGACGCAGACGATACACTGAGGCTGTAGGTTGCGCGTATTGTAAATCACCGTTCCTTGAGTTTCCAGCCATACGTATCCGCCATGCTTGGCAAGCATACGGTACTGGCCCGTCACTACTTGACCTTTTGTACACACTGAGAAAAGGGGGCAGAGAGATATAAATAATGCAGCAGGACAGGCACACAAAGTATGTAACACTTGTTTTAAATAAACCCGCTTCTGAGTTTTCATTATGCAAAACTACACTAAGACATTTGTTAGCAAGGATGGTTAACTTTGGGACAAGTTGGCCATTTGAAATATAAAATGGGCTCTTAATCTGAGGTCTCAAGATGCCTGGCATTTCAGTTCTTTAGATGGTCTGAGTATTCAGATCAGAGTGTGGGACATTTTTGCGTGTTTAATGTAAGATGCCCCACAAAATAATGCCTGCTGACTGCATGTTTCTTGAAAATCCCTGTTCTAGAAGTGTCTCAATTTAGGATTCCAAGTTGATCTGTAGAAAAATGAATTTATTTAGGTCAGATGATTTAAAAGCTATACTCAAAATCTCATGGTTTAAATCTATACCTATCTATTTTTTTATACCTCAACACCACAAATAAAGCGAAGGTGGCACTAGCACAGCATTGGTCTTAAGAGGCTGAAGAAGTAGTATCACCCTTAAAAAAGTATCAAAATTAAGAACAGTAAATTGGACTGTTTTGCCTAGGAGAAAAAAAAAAAAAAGAAAAAAGCTGAACTACTGTATTACTCTGTCTGCTTGACCTGTGTTGTTTCTCTGCAATAGCTTGAAATTAGCAGCCTAGAAGTAACCAAGACCCATGTGACAAATCCACGTTTATTTAACTCAAAATGGTTTGGGTTTTTTTTTGAGCTGGCCTGAGTTTCTCAAGCAATAAACTGACAGTAGTACAACTTAGGTTTAAAGCTTCATCTAGATGTTTGAAGGGTGAAACCCTCCCCCCCTCCAATATTTCTTAATATTGGAAGAGAATGAGTTTCCAATATGGAGCTTTGGACTTCTGAGATGTAAAATTTTATGATGTCCTTCCTGTCTGTTGTAAATCCTTTCCTAAAAGCTATGAATATTGTCATGCAATTCACAGTTGTCAGTAGAGGAAAAATATTGTTGATCAATGGCAATAAAAGTAGGGCTGGAGTATGCAAGCAGTACGTGTACTAATAAAAGATTGTATTTGTAAGCAGTACGGTAAAGATCATCCGTGCTGATCCTGTGCTATCATAAACACTATGGAATGGTTTGATCCTAAATATTTATAACTTGTGCAGTAGTCACACTAAGGATAGCAAAAGTGGGAGCTGGCTCAACTAAACCTTTGACCACATTGGCAATCTTTCCTTTTCAACAGCTTCTACGCCTGAAGACAGTATGCCATCAAACTAATGCCCTAAAAATAAGGCAATTTGACTCAGTAAGGCTGGAAACGATTCTGCAGTCTTTGTACAGAAAAATCCCTTGTGAATGTGGCCGTTAACAGAAGCTATTTATTGCCAGTCTCTCCTACGTCGCCACCGTACAAATGTACAAATCCAGGCCTGTGAAATGCAACAACTGTTTTGCAGATAATTGTTGCTGTGTTTATCCTTCTGTCTCTGAAGTTTGTTTGTTTTCTTCCTAGGAGTACTTAATCATCCTTCATTTAATTTATTTAGACAAAGTAGAACATTACTTTTATTGATTAAATACTTCTGGTGGAACAAAATCAAAAGGCTTTCATTTCAAAGTGTTTTAGTGACTGGACTGTTCTGCTCTGCTTGTGAAACATAATTACACTGCTTCCTAATCATCAGCTCGTCAATAAGAGTCACAGTGTAGGCGCCTGTTACATTACAAAGAAGCTTTTTACTGCTTTAATCTTTTTTATTATTATTATTCAAAACATGTCATGTTCTGATATAATAAGGTACAGCAGAATCCCTCCGTGGGGTAATCTCATAAATTACTAATACACTCGTAACTACTGACTCTGTTATCACTGCTACATTTAAGGTTTTGCCTTCAGAGTGAGCTTCTCTTTTTTTTTTTTTTATTTAAGTATACATCGCCCATATCTTTACGGAACTAGTAACATCTCAGTGAAATAGGCTCCAGTTATATTCCTTATCTTTGGGTGGAGAAAGGGGGAAGGCAGAGATGAATTTAATTGAACATAAAATTTGTTTTCTAATTGCCGAGAGACACTTGAGAGCTATGATTCACTCGGAAGGCTTATCGAACTTCTGCTACGTACTACCAAGTGGCAGGTCCCAGATGGTGACATTCAGCTCTCCAGTAAAGGCAACAACAAAATTCTCATTGGCTTTCACAGCAACAAGACTAGACTCTAAATGGAAGCGATTATAGATTATTAATCGCTGAATTGGAAAACAGAGCTCTGCAGTCAATCTTTTGTGTACATTTATGTAACAAGACAGATTTTTAATCTTGCTTGCATAACACGTGAAAAACTGGGTATGCTAAATACTGCCAAACACATTCTAATCTTCCATTTGATGGTGACTAATTAAGACTTTCATACTCTATATGCAACTATACTTCCAGCCAAGAACACAAACACTATTGTGGCTTGCTTGAATGTGAGGTTGTTATTTCACCTCAAGAAAAAAAGCAACCAACTGCAATACAGTAAAACTACAATGAGCATGATTTATCACTAAATTAGAAGGAAGGAAAGGGAAGGACTTCTGCTTCTATCCAAGAAACTAATTTGAGGCTTTTCCTCCCTCTCTCTTCAAACTTCAGTCTCCTTCCTCTATTTCCTATGCGGCTTTACAATCCTAAATGGTTGGCACTGTCAGAATTGATGACTGTATTGTTGCATGAATATCTACTCTATACATAGTGTATTTCTAATAAAAAATATTGTTTAATAAATACAAGTGTGCTGAACATTAATTTTGAGGTGGCTATTTCCATGTATAAATGAACATGGCCAGGAAGAACTACTAAGTTCTGCATAGCTACGTGCTAGGAAGAACTAATAAGTTGTGTATAAGGTATACACCCGCTTGGTTACCCTGTGCATTAGACAACATCTCAATGGCACACATTAGGAAACCTAGGGATTTCCTATTTGGAGGGCTTATGTGTGTTTTTTCAAGTCACAGCTTGCTGTCACTTTGCCTTTGTGGTTGTTCTCTGAGTTGATAAGGAGCCTGACTGTCCCAGAAGACATGGGAAATATTTATCTTAGAAAAACTAATGGGGTCAAATTTGCTGGTGATATAAACTGATGGTTCTGTTGTGGGCAACAGCATTTATCACAGCACAGACTTTGGTCCTGTGCTTCCAACAGTAAAGATCATCCATGCTGATCCAGTGCTATCATAAACACGATGGAACAGCTTGATCCTAAATATTTGTAACCTGTACAGAGCACAGTGCCTTGAGCACTTTTGCTGGTATAACTCATCCCTCTAGACTTTCCCTTACGTTCACTCTGCTTCTCAATCAGTCCTCATGCTCAACAGCAAAAGTTTGTAGGACATGGCCCTTTTCAGTAGGCTAAATGGCATCTAGACATGAACTCTGCAGTACACGAGGTGAGTTGAATTGCTAGTGAAGAGCAACCTCCATCAATGTGTGGTCAAGATGCGTACTAGAAACTCTCCAGAAATCTTTATATGAGCAAGTCCCAACTCAGTGGTCTCATTTAATTAACTAGACAGGGATAACTAACAAGGGCTTGCTCGCTCGCTCTCCTGCTACCAGACTGCCAGTTCTCATTTCATTCCCTCCCTGGTGTTGTCCCATTCTTAGAAATGCAGCACAATGATTCAAAAGCAACAGTGCAGCATACCCACTGATTTCACAGGATGACTCTCCATAGCCCAGCATAGGGTATGGACATCCTATCTATGAATATCACATGTTAAAAGGAAGAACACATTACCTAAGAAACAATTTTAACAAATACATTCCCAGACAACTCTGCAAGTACAGTGTGATTTTTTTTTTTTATTTTTTTTTAAGCAGCTCTGGAAACAGGATGATTCATACCAACACTGTTTTATAGCACACAGCTTTAATCACTGCCAAACATTCTTTCAAATAACATTTCAACTCAAAGCTGTCCTGAGTCCTTGCCATTAGAGCTAACGCATATTCCCTTTTCCCCTTAAGGTCAGACAGTTATTCTTTGCTGCTCCTTTTCTCTGGGAAGTACAGAAATATTTTCTGTAAGTCTATTTGGTGGGCAATTCCCTACAGACATGATCTAAGTCATGGGCTTTTTCCTGAGGACAGAGACTTTGATCATAGTAACTACAAGGTGGTGGTGGTGGCGGGTGGGGGGGGGTTAGCTTGTGAACTCCAGTCTAGGAGCTTTGCTTTGTTTTTATAAAACGAGCAGCAGCAAACATTTTAGTGATGCATTGCTGAGAACTCTCCCATAACACTACTTCAGTGGCTGTAACAGCCAAGGGTGGGAAATGTCATTTGTAGGTTGGCACACCATGCTGTCTTCAGCCATAGCACCAACTCTAAGGACAGACACCAAAGATTTAAACCCAATAATGTTAAGACACCTTACATGAGAGAGAGCTAACTGTGTGGACTGCTGAAGAGAGTGAGCAGATCTTGGATCTGATCTCTGCTCACGGAATAGTTCAGGTACTTTACATTAAAAACAACTAAAACTGGCAGTTCACATAGGCATAAGAAAAACAAGACAAAGCTGTTCCTGGCAGTATATATTATTTGTATAATGAATATCCCTTTTAGAAAGTCTCCTTGCACATCTGTTTTGGGTGGGGAAGATAGTTGTTATTTAGTAGCAGAAGACAGACATCATTGAAAAATCACTGCAATAAGCTCTTCCTATTATGCTTTACAGTTGCTCTTCCTGCTGC